GTGGGGAGGAGTAGACAGGCCTGCAGAGGGCTTCCCAGGCGATGAGCTACCTGGGTGCAGAGTGCCGTCTTCCTCCTGCAGAGGGGTTCAGCTAGCAGTTCAACAGGTAACATTTAACCCCAGCAGGGCTGCTAACTGAGATGAATGAGGATACAAATGGGGCTTGTCTAAGGATGGGAGGATCACGGGGACGTTTTACTTACTTTTGTCCACTGTGGATTGCTCAGATGTTCTACACATACCTCACTTTAAGACACAGAGAAGAGGAACCACGGCTGTTCGGACAGACGCACAGAACAATCAGCACTCTACTTGACGCCTCTTGGGGGATCTCTGACTGTGTCCTGGTAAGATCATTTCTTTACTGAAATATTGACGGAGTGCCTGTTACCTGCCGGACTTTATGATTCCTCTTAAAGATACCAAGACAGAACAAAACAAAACAAAAATCAAGTGCCTGCTGGTCCTCTCCCCCACGTTGTCAAAGCTCAATGACTCAGACATGTCAGCAAGGATGACACAGGAATGTTGCCTGTTCCTCTGAGGAGATGAAAGGCAAGATGCTGTGTATGGTAGTTCCAAAATCTGGTGTCGATTTGAGGTTTAAGAGTGAAGGGGTGGAGTTTATCCTGTCAATCAGGTAGCAGCTTGATGACCTCATTTAGAGGTGCTAAGGAGATAAATAGCTCACTGGAGTTAGACACAGGCTCACTCCCTGTGAGACATGCTTGCTAACAAGACACATGGAGCTATGTTAGAGCCCTGGAGCTGAAGGAGCCACATGGAGACCCCTGCCAGTGCTGAGATGCCTCTACTGCCTCTGGATCCACAGGACTTTCCACCCAATGGCCTGTGATCTTCCTGCATTCAGCCTCACTGCATGTGTTTCATGAGTCTGAAGAGGACTTTACAGATTGGTATCAGATATATGGGATAATATCGGACTTATGGACTTGATCTGGACTGGGCTGGGATGTTTTCTCAATGTTCAACTGCTCTTGCATGTGAAGCTCATTCTTACATACATGAATGTCTACGGATGTTTCTCTAGTCCACCCAGAGTACTACGCTGCGCAAACACAAAGGAAGAGAGACACCTGAACTCAACCTGAGGACTTTGGGGAGGGCCTCCTGGGGAGTCTTGGGGGATGAAGAGGATTCATCAAACGATGGAGCTTACTTCTGGGCTGTGGGAGAAGAGTGCTCTGAGCAGAGGGCCTTGTCTTGAGTACAGATGAGTTGGCAGAGGAGCGACAAGTCAAAGGAGCTAGGAGGCAGCTTAGGAAGTCTGCGGGGCAGGGAGCACAGCAAGATGGGGCTGGAGAGGTGCCTGCAACCACATTAGAGGGCCCTGTGCGACATCCTCAGTGTCTGAATTCTGTCCAGAAAGCCTCCAGATCTATCAAAGGTTTTCAAAAGAGGAGCGATGTACTCAGATTTGCTGCCAATAGAAGCTAGGGGGGGGGGGATGCTCCTTTTCATTTGAAAAGAACATCAACATTGTCGTTTTTGGCTTAAAAGCCACTCATTTTCCAGACAATTGAGGCTGTTTTTTTTCTGTTTCTTCTTCCTTTTCAAGCACCCTGGCTGGTGTGGGAAGCGCTGCATGGCCACAGTCC